TATCCTTGTTTGGCCGTGTTGTTCTCGTTACCTTTTCATATGCTGTTTGCCCTTGTGGAAATAGAGCATATTCGGACCTGAATATTTTATTATTGTCCGTTTGAAATGAGCCTAAACAGATAATAGACGACTGAGTTGCTTAGTGCTTTCTTCTTACGTGATGTAAGCTACAAACGCAGGGACTTGGGGCTTATTGTCTTTTTAGTCTTCGATATATACTCAAGCAGAGATAAAGTGCTTGGATGGCATGGCTAAGCATATAGTTTTGAGCATCTACAGTTGAGCGGTTTGAGAGACCAAAAGATCCCGTCCCATTTCAAGGCTGCTGCTGTTTAGAGCTCACTAATTCTTTCAATTCAACTTCAATTCCCCATTGGCTTCGTTTTTCAACTGCTCAGCTGCGAGTACCAGGGAGAACACATAAAACTTTCAAATTACTTCATTATGCAAATGCCTGACCAGATCCGAAAAAATATTTTAAAAATTTTAAAAAATTTTAAAAATTATTAAGATGATAAAAAATCAGTTTAATTATTTATTTATATCTTCAACATATTATTAATTTATATTTGCATTATTTATATTAATTTATACCCAACTCACACAGAAATTGATGTTTTAGCAACATTTAAACAGCTAGGCAGTTGGAACTTCTCTCCAACTGCTACGGCCACGCCCAATCGTAGCGCACACGCCCACACACCGCAGCTAGGTGACTCCCTACATCAACAGCTGCTCAGAATTCGAATTTTCAGCCTTCAACTATAACACTTCCTGTACAGTGTATTAAGCAGTCAGTAGTAAACAATATTTCAGAATTTTTTGGTTTGCTTGTTTTGTTTTGGCCAAGTTGAAAACGTTTTTGCACCCAATTTCGGCTGCCGGCAAACAGCTCGCCAAGCTGAAAGCAACAAAGACATTTGGTCCGATAAAAGATAAGCCGAGCCGAGTGACACCGAGCTATGCGAACCACCCAACCACCCAGGCAGCCAGAAGCCATGTGTTTCTGTAATTTAAGTAAAGAAAATGTTTCAAATTAAATGAAAACATGGCCAGGTACTTGGCCCCAACATCGACATGTAGATTCTGCCAAATGAAACATAAGCAAAGCGCAAAGCTTCACCTGCACCGCAGACAGCTCGCACCAAGCACCAAAGATTAGACAGCCCACAATATGCAGGCCCAGAAAACTCCCCCGCAGTTGGGCTCAACTGGAAGCCAACTAATATAGCTGCCAGCGCAGAGTTTAAATTATAGTTTTTAACTTCCATTCAGATGTGTGACAGGTGATAGTTATGCTGTTTCAGCTAGAGCTGAGCGGGTGACACGCTAAAGGAATAAATTCAGAGCAAAAGAATCGATTAGTTTAAAGGGAACTTCAAGACCAAGACCCAAGCTCTGGCTCTGCTATAACTGAGGGCTAGAACGACTCGATCAAATATTTATATTTATTTACTTTTTAAGCCATGTCACGAGACATGTGTAGCACAGCTGGTGGCTTCCAGAGGGCAAGAAACTACAGATTATTTATGTATCTAGCAAGTGAGCCAAATCTGTCGACAAAATTGCACATTCTATAAAAATATAAACTATTGGAATTTGTGTATCTGCTGTGTGTGAAAATAGTAAATATATTTAACTCGTTTGGCTGGCTGAAGTTGCTCTCAGCATAAATCGAAATGTGCTAATTAGCAATATCAATGCTGCACTCGAAATGACAGCACAAAATGTTAGCCAAGAGGAATTCGACTTTTGATGCGCAAACGACGATAAACACATCCGATTAAATGGGCCAAAGCGTTTAATTATAAGTTCACTTAATGTCAAACAGAAAGCCAAAGGCTTTATGGCCAACAACACTCGTTAAAGCAGATGGGAAGCGAGAGAGAGACAGAGAGATGAGGCGAGTGATAGCAGTATGAACATAGGCACGCGCCCGATTGCCTTTGGGCCCGGCTATGTACCATCGTGACGTGGCGTTTTGACAGTCGGAAGGCAGAAAGCCGATAGCAACAATATGTCAATGCAATTGCCATTGTCAATGATATGGCCAAAAACAATGCACACAAGAGAGAGAGAGAGAGCGAGAGAGCGAGAGGTAGACAGATGCTGTGCCAAAAGCCTTCCTTCAATCAGTTCGAAATTCATTGGACTTGGCTTCAGCCGGGGCTTTTCTTTGACGATTGCGTTTTTAATTACAACAAAGCGCAGCATAGAGCCTAAATCTCTGGCCAATTAGCCGCTGAACCGACTGACATGGCACGACAGCAACAGTCAAACGCATTCAGCAGCGCATTAGACACACTCGACTCGACTAGCAGATACCACTTAATTGTGTCTTGCTTAAAACACTTGACAGAGCTAAACAGCAATTTTTGTCTTATCATTTGTCTCTTCAAGATATTTAGACCTGCTTTCATTCTTTATCTTTGGCCAGGCTACCCCATTGGCTGCACTTTCAGCTGGGCAACAAAACAACTAACGGAAATGTTGCGCTTGTTTAAATTGCCATCAACGCGTTGAACGCGTGTCATCCACAGCGATCCGCATTGCTGTTTGTGTTGCCCATGTGGCACGCGACACATTGACTGACAGCCGAGGCTAAAAGTGGAAAATCAATGCAACGTGCCATTAGGCGCCGTGACTTGACTCATTTCGCAGCCAAAACAAAAAACCAAAATCATCTGCATTTGGTGCTTCACTCAGTTTCCGTTGGCCACTTTAACTGGAAATGACGAATGAATGGACCTAGCTGAATTTGCTTAGATATTAGCCAAGAAAATATGAAATTGCTGTTGGTACATTAACTAAAAGGTAGCAAAGCTCTCTTAACACTAAGCCATATTTAAGCCATATTATTTTCAACTGCTGCCAGAATTTCTAAATATTTTAATACATTTTAGTTTTTTTAATATTTTATATTATTCTTAAATATTATTTTGTGCTCATATATTATTTTTTTGTATTATTTAATTAATTTCGTTCAGTGTAATCTGACTTAGAGTTCGTATAACTCAGCAGAAAATCTTACCAAACTTTATATATCCATCGAAAGCTAATTATTGAAACATATAATATATAGTTGAAGTATGTAGTATTTATTATATATTTATGTTACATTTATCTACAATATTTATCTACATTTATCTACAAATATATATAGTTATACATATTATATTTAATTTCGAAAAAATCGAAAATATTTTAAACATTTTCATATTTATTTTCATTTTAACTTTCTGATACATTATCAACATTTGCTCTCTATTAACAGCGCCCAAACATAATATAAATAAAATGAAAACAAATCTTGCGAATGCTCAATTAAATGCAATTAAATAAGTATTAATTAAATATATTTCAAAAAGTAGGCAATTTGGCTTATCTACTATGCCAGAACTATTGAAATTACTCCACCTGCTGAGCCTGACTATGCAGGGTATAATGATTTTGTGAAAATGTATGTAACAGACAGAAGGGGGCGTGGCATGAAGCAGATATTAACAAGAGGTTAGAAGTTTAACTTCACGAAGATTTTATGTGCTATATATATTTGAGTTTTATAATCCTTGAATTCCATAATATCGATAACGAGCTCTAGCAGTGAAGCATATCTGTTTGAAGAACTGGAGTCAAAGGCCAATGAACATTAAATTTCGTGCAACGTCGTTTCCCCTCTTAGTTGCTATAAGAATCATTTGAAGACAGAATGTCATGAATTGATACAAATATATATGTTTATAGTGTATAATATTGTGCTTTAAAATGTGAAGAAAAATAAGCCGAATCAAATGATGAATCGAACAATAATCAGTAAAGTTATTTAAGAATAAAATTTTCATATGATTTTAAGAAGCGCCGTCTTTGTCAGAGTTTAGAACTGTATGCATAGAAGTATTATGTTTATAATACATTAAAGTCTAGATATATGCTAGTCGGGCATTGCCCGCTTTCTCTCTCTTCTTTTTTCCCATTTATTGTTTTTTATAATTTTTTTATTTGAATCGCGTGTGGCTAACTAACCGTCGATTTTTAAGTGGATTTTACTTTAGTTATTTTAACAACAAGCACGTTGAACGCATTTCATGTTTGTTTGCAACACATGTTGACAGAGTGACATGGCGACCGTTAGGCCAAATACCAAATATTTAATTTAAATCAGTGTCACCGGCCATTAAACAATTTGCGTTGGTCAACTCTGTAGCCGAAAGTGTTGACCCAGGACTCTGAGCTGGCTGACTGACTGACCGGTTTGACAATCTGCTGTTGTTTAACTGGCTGCGAGTGATATGAATTTGTCGCATTCGACATTTAATTAATTGTTCTGCTTGATTGACTGACTGATTGTGATTGAAGATAGCCAAGCACAGCTAAAGCTATAGGAGGTAGAGCTAGCTAGATGACATTATCGGCTTCTTTACTGTGCCAATGGGAGTTCATTGAAAAACAAAAATACCTGAAATATCAGATGTATTGACAGACAAGACTATGATATGCATTCATCTGTTAAAGTATCTATACCTTTAGAGAAGAGTGAAGAACTAAAAATATTATAGAAACGGATCCCAATATGTCAAGGTGTTAAGCGCTGCTATCCTCAGGGTAAACGAGTGGCTCAGTGGTGCCTACAACAAGGGCTTCAGGAAAAGCTAACCAAGTTTCATTTATTTTTTCAAAAAATAATTTTTTTATTCTCAATTTAAACTTTGAGCGAGTCTCTTTTATTTTTTGTTATTATCAATGCTTGACAATTCTCTTATCCAATTATTTTGCTGCTCAGCTTAAGTTGAAAAATATTAAAATTGATAAAGTAAATATGAGTGAATTTATGGTTTTGTATGACTCATTGTTTGTGATCTCAAGTGTCAATACCTTAAGGCCTACAGAAATGAAATTTCAACTTAATGTATTGTATATTGCAACGAGCAGAACTTCATGATTTACCTATACGTACTCATCTAAAAAGGTTTATTGGCATATATCTACAAATTATAGAATGTCTAATTTGCAGACCATCTCGAGTCCGTAACTGTAACACCCAGACGTCTATTTCTTTCGAGGAAAGTTTGCATCCAATTGCCGGGAATGCAGCCATAATCGCAATTGCAGCCAAAGATGTTGCAGGGTCCGCGGCCACAGTAGCTGCCCTGCTTAGCCCGGCCATCGGCACAAATAGTGATCGTGCAGATGTTTGGATTGTTGCTTAGACGACCACCAGCATCGGCACAGGTGCGTCCTGGCCTGTTATATCTATACATCAGGGTCAACGATTGCCGACAGCACTGCGCCCGAAGGCTGCCCACACAGGCCAAGACACAGATGAGAGCCAGCAGAATGGATATGTGCTTCATCTTAGCGCGTTTCGAGTTAAGAATTAACTGAGCTACAGGCTTTTTATAGAGGTTTTAGGGAAATGTGCCCTGGCTACAGATCTCGTATAATGACGAAGCTTTAATACGCTTCAATACATTCAACATATATAGAGATCTTTTATTAATAACAATCATATATTATCTTACCTTATTGATATATTATTTATTTTAAGAGTTATAATAACAAACACTGATAATTTTATATATATTTTATTTATTTTTATTTTATATATATTTTTTAAGAGAAATATTTGATATTTTGCTGATACTTAAAAGAAAGGGTATCAAATATGACATTTATGCAAACCTCATTATGTGAGCCGCTTTTATCTTTTCTTATTGTACGAACAATATTTAACTAGAGCCAATTGTCTTATTCATTTATTGTGCCGATTAACTGTCGCAACACCGTAAAGCGGGTTCAAGTGAACAAATGTTTATATTTAGATTTAAAAAATGTTATTGAGGGCAGGCACGTGAGAGTCAAAATATTTTGCTCTCCCAACCGCTTTTCATAAGCAGAAGCTAATAATTTAATCCATATTCTATATCAATGACAAAATATCAATATAAATTAAGTTTTAAATAAGTTTAGAGTTAGATGATTATATCAGCTATAATTTTGCTGCTGTTATATAGCAGTTTCTAGTCAAATTTCAAGTTTCAGTTGCTGCAGAGTGCGACTATTATATTTCAAAATTTTTGAGACTGAAAGTGATGACGTTTTTGATTAACCTAAGTAATGGCAACTGAGGTATCTGTTGCTTCGTGTAGCAACAGTCTTTCTTGAGAAGAGATTTGACAGCACATGTTTTGGTCGTTCAGAGGCAGAGTTTTTGGCGCTGCTGCTTCTATATTAAAGCAAGCAATGAACATAGGCCTTGTGCAATGAGCAATATAGGCGAATGTTAAATTTTGAATATATATTCTTAATCTAAACGATGAGCTGAGCTAATCTAGACCAATGCCTCTAGCCATATGTCTAGCTATGAAGCTGCAACTCTATGCCATAGGCATTACGCGCCTAGTTGATTAGCTCTTGTGCAAGAGTAGATTGGTAGCAGGGTATTTGCTAGTCGAGCACTCATCAGTAAAACACTCTTATCATAGAAACCGAAAAGAGAAATATAGCTCGAAACACATTTATAGGTTTTCCTGAAGCATGTTTATTTAAATATATCTGCAAGTCATAGCAGGAGTTGCGCAGCTTCTTAGTTGAATCTGGAACCCGTAACTATAACACCCAAATGTCTATTGTTATCGAGGAAGCTTTGCATCCACAGGCCTGTGATGCAGCCACCTCCGCAGGCGCAGCCAAAGATGTTGCAGGATCGACGGCCACAGTAGGTGCCCACCTGAGCCCGGCCATTGGCACAAACGGTAATCGTACAGTGCGTCGTACTGATTGGACGACCACCAGCATCTGCACAGGAGCGTCCTGGCCTGTTATAGGTATACGTCATGGTCAGCGATTGCCGACAGCACTGCGCCCGCAGGCTGCCCACACAAGCCAAGACACAGACAAGAGCCAGCAGAATGGATATATTTTTCATTTCAACACGTTTCTCGTTGAGAATCAACAGAGCTAAAGTCTATTTATATGGTTTTTGCAGGTGCATATCACATATAATGACGAAGTTTAAATGCACTTCTATATATAGAGAGTTGTTTAATTAATTACAATCAATTTATAATAACAAATTTATATGACAATACATTTATATTGTTAGAAGTAATAATAATAGACACTGATAATTGCGCATATATTTATATATATATCATATTTTTTTTAGAAATATTTAATAATTTTAAAATATGAAAAGGAAAGAGTATAGTATAAGAAAGCCACTGTGGGTGGATGGACTTCTTAATCTTTTTTTATTGTCTTTATATTGTTTAGCTAGAGCCAACTATATTATTTATTTATTGTACTGAATAGCTTGAGATACACAATAGTTAACTGAATTTATAAATAGCTTAAAGTTTATTGTTTGTAAAGTAATGTTTATATTTAAAGCTAAAAATAGGCTATTCAAGAGCGAGAGAGTCAAACTACTTTTCATATATAAAACACTGAACAAGCTCTGCTAAAATTTTGATATTTTAGTTTTAAACAGCGCTAAAGTTAATGGAATATCTGATATATGCTAGTATTTATTCAAATTTCAAGTCTACATTTTAATATCAGACAAACAGAATGACATATATATATATATGTATATATATACTCATATATATATATATATATACTCATATACACTCATACATATACATATACTTTGTATACGATACATCGATAGCCAATCAATACATTTTCTTTAAGACAAATCTCAGGCTTAGTTATCATTAAAACTCTCGCTTTAAAGTGGAGTTAGCTAAGCTCCCTTTGAGATGCAAAAAGTCAGAGCGGAACTATAGATTGGGCTCTATGTTGCACCAGCATCTAAATCACTATCCAATTATATTTTAATGCGCAACTTCCACTACTCCAATTGTACGCACAATCTCCCACATGGGTACCATTTAAGCAATATGTCATGAGGTCGCCAAGATGCTTAACTTGGCTTCTTGCGTTTCTGTTATTTTTATGACAACTCAGGACAAGGAGTGCCCTAACTTGCTCAAAGAAAGTGGATATAAACGGCCCGCCCCCCCACACACACACACACACACAAGCGTTCGTGGCAAATTTTTAGGCCGAAACGAACTGAAAGATGTCGACGTGTAGTTATAAAAAATTTTTATCTTAAAGCGCCTGTCAGGCTGTCTCGAGTGTCTCGCGTGTTCTAACTGGGAGCCGCCCCACCCCACACCCACTCACTCATTCTCCCCCACTCTGTCTGTCCGTCTGCTGATGAAAACGAAGTTGACAATGCGAATGAGTTTCTTATAACAACAGTCAACCAGACGGAAGTGCAAAACAAAATGAAGCGACAGCAAAAAAGTGGAAACGTGCCGCTCGCCTAGGCCCAACTTATAAGCAAATATACACACATACATATGTTATATATATATATATGTATATTGGAGCAGAAAGGGCTAAGGCTAAGCACTTGGGTTTTATCAACCAGCAAGGAAAACCTTTTTCGAAATGTCGCTAAGGCAAACACAACATTTATGTGAATGTGTGCGGGCTAAGTTTTTGTTCGCATTGTGGGCGGGGCAACAAGCTTCCTTGTATGTGTGTGTGTGTGTGTGGCTGCTGCGTTTGTTAACGTTTAATAAATCAAAATTACTTTTCATTTCTATGACAGTCATAATGGGGCGTTACTTGACATTTTGCTTTTCATTTCGTGGCGCTGCCTGCCGCCATTTTGTGCGGGGGCGCGTTCTTATTATATTTTTTTTTTTATTTTTCGGCTTGCGTGTAGCTTCAGCTTCCTTCGTCTGCTGTCTGTTCATTTGCGCAATTCGCAGCTTGTTGCCAGATGAAATCTCAGCGTTAAGAATTTTTGCCACATGCTCATGCTTAAAGCTTATCCTTATCGCATACTTAGACGCACACACACACATGCACGCACACAACATACTCACACATTGTTGATTTTTATATTGGGTGCTAAATTCAATGTCACAAGAACAGTGCGAGGAGCAAGAACAACAACAACAACGAGCAGCAGCAGCACCAGCAGCAGCAGCTAAAAAAATGTCATTTAATTTCGTTCATTTTGCCGCATGCCACACGCCGCAAAGGGGCATGACGCTGTCCTTGCACAGGATAACACCAATTTCGCTTATGACAGTTATTACAAATGCTTCTTGTCGGCTGCTAAGCGAGCAGCAGCCAACAGCCAGCAGCAGGCGCTGAATCGGGGCCACTTTGCGCTTATCCTTCAAATGAAAAGTTATTGTTGGGAATTTTTAGCTCCCTCAACGCTGCCATTCTTATTGATGTCTTCAGAATCGATTGTCGCTGTTTGCCAGAGCAACAACAGCAGCAACAAGAGAAACCAAAAGTACATTAGCTCGGCACAGTACAACGATGTTGACTTTTGCTGGCATCTTGTTGCCCTCTATCTAGCTCTCGCTCACACTACTTACCCCTTCTCTCGCTCTCTCTTTGTCTTTCTGCCTGTCCATCTGACTCCCACGCCAACTGTCTATTTGCTCTGTTAAGTATATTTTCATGGCCTTTTTTCATACTCTCGCTGTAAGTTGAATGATTTTTGCATGATTTTTGTCATGCTTAAAAGCTGAAATCTATGCCAATCTTCAGATATGCATTCTTGATCTATCTCAACAGGAGAGACAGTGGGCCTAGACACAGAGGTATCTACTGTAACTTACATTGTTCTTATCAGAGGTATAAAAGCCATCAATGAACATTAATTTGTACCATTTTGTTCGACATTTATATATGGTGTCACTGCGCATATAGTTGAAACAACTTTTGCCAACTGATCCGTTGAGTTAAAAGAAATGCTTAGCCAGGCAGCAGCGCGGATTAATATAAAAATTTGTAAGCAAAAATAAATTAAATCTTTCTATCTTTAACTTTATCTAAAACTATATATAAAATATTGGAAAGCGTATTTAGTATTCGCTCAGCTCCCATTTTCATTATTTCTCATCGCGTTTCACATTTTTATCTGTTTTTTTGCTGCGCCGCTTCGTTGGCTCCGTTGCAATTCTCATTGAATATCGATAGAGAAAACAGTCCTGAGACAGTAAATTAATTTTTCAAAAATTGGCATTCATTTTATTTTTATCGTCTGCTCCCGCTGAACGTTTTTAACTTTGCAGCGCTGATTTTCGACCTCCTCTCTATGCGCTCTTCATTTGTTATTATTGTTATTTATTGTCGCATTGTATTGCCATTACGACATCGACTCAATGTTTTCTATTCCACTTCAATTCAATTATTGACACTTACAATTGATAATTTCCAGCACAAAAGATTCGAATCGAATGACTTGGAGGCTGTGATTTGAGCCTGAATAGAACGCAATCAGAGTTAATTTGTAAATCATTTTTTATTTATTAACAATTAAATTTTAAACTGAATCTCCAAAATTTGTTTCTTGTAGAGCGTGAATTCAGCTTCAATTTCTCATCATGCGAAACAGTTCTTATAGACCTCCCCAACATTGTATCTGCTTGCTACTAGAATCCTAATCAAAATTAGAATTTCGCTTTTAACTATGTGAATAGCTTTGTTGTTGGACACGTAAAGTTTTCGCTTTGTTTTGACGCACATCGCGACTGTCTTAGAATGTTCATCATCTTTATGGGCAAATTGCATTAAAGCTTGTGCTGAATAGCTCATCAGGCGTTACGGCATCTCAAACGCTCACCCACTAAATATGCAAGCAAATGAAATTAGAAGCAGCTCACCGCACTTGCCCCTCCGCCGGTTCCCATATCCTTTGCCACCTGCTCGCTGAACGGCAGCCTTTTCTTAAGCTCCCCTGCAGCAGCAGCAGCCACCATTAACTTGGCATTGCTGTGGGGGCGTCTTTCGACAGACGTCTCTCTCGCCTCTCGTCGCCCGTCTCTCGTCTGGCGTTTTCGTGTAAACCAAAAATAGCATCACGTTTTAAATTGCTGCTTATCAAAACATGTTCTTGAACTGTAATCTGTTTTTGTGCTCGCGCGCACGCCAATCTTGGGCGGGTGCCTTGCCTTACCTGCCATTTGTTTGGCAATTGGTGAAGCAGCAAGGGCTGCCGGCATCTGCATACCCTGTAAGCAGGTAATTGCTGCCAAGCATATAAATCTCTCATTAAACTAGAAAACATTATATATGTATTTGCATCTAATTAACCTGACTTTAAAGACAGTTATCGATGACATGTATCGATAAATGTTCTTTCTACAACTAATTCGATAACATTCGCTGTAATGTAATATATATTTAACATTTACTCTAGATATTATTGATGAGAACAAAAAATGTGGTTTAAGCTGATCTGTGCTCAGCTAAAATTCACTTTACATTATCGATAAATATCTCTATCATTCAACTGTTGCACATATAAATATTTTTTTGCATTTAAAGATCAACATACGAATATTTTATAGAATAAGCTATTTAACATTTATTAAAAATCAGATTTACCTGTAATTCATATAATCGATAAACATCGATAACAAGAAAACTTCTCCTAATAGACTCGAACTTCATATTATAAATCGAAATTAATACTCTGGAAAAACAAATCATTATTAGTCGAAAAATATTGTTGTGACATAACTGAAATATGAACAAATATCGATAAATATATAAATATAAATATAAATATATAAAGAGATTTCTGTATAACGTTAAATCTACATGAGCATATAGAAGAATTTATCTAACATTTAATCAAAAACTCTATTTCGGGGTTTTTAAAAAATCGATAAGTATCGATAACTTCTCTTAATACGAACTTACGGACTTCATATAACAAATCTAGTTTATATCTCTGGAAACATACATCATTCATATATGAAATAAGAGAAAGCTATTAATATGACATAACTGAAATCGATAAATATCGATCATGATTTGCATATTTCATAGATAAGGAGCAGTAGACAACCAAATTTGAATGACAATGTTTCTATAGAT